TGGCAACATGGTTAAGGTGAAGGTAAATATTTTTCTACAACGAGGCAACTCTCGGGTTGGTCAACAATTCCTGCCACCAGCCAGTTGTTGGGTGGTGTGTGTCAGAGGCTCAACAGATACAGAAACAAATAATTATCTCCACAACATGACGTAGGTGTTATGTTCACATTAATCCTGGTTACTGGTCCAGGTTAAGAGACCTGAGATAGGAAATCAATGGTTTCTCCCTCGCAGTAAGAGAAGAGTCCTCCATTTAAGAGCAGTTTTACTGTAATGGGATAATTAAAAAAATACACACAGTTTTTTAACCTCTAATCAGAAAATCTTATGATACGTCGCCTTTATTATCATCAATCATTTATACTGGGAAATCTTTCAGATATGATTCCCTATCACAGCATGTATTTTATTAAATATTTACACATTGTGGATATTCATAAAAGGTTAAACTCAATTATGAATATGTCATCCAATTGGAAACTGTAACCTGTAGACAACATTATTGCAGTTTATAGACTGAATGGTCTGAATAATCATGGCTTGATCGAAACAACATGTAACACTACACATTAAAGTTGTTAGATTTACTAAGAAGTAAAACATTAATAGATAATAGTTTTTCTGCTGCTTCTCTGTGTTTGTAAAACAGCAAAAATAAGAACAGACACTACAGTATTACAGGGGAGCAGCACCGGGAGCCAATTATAATTAAAGAATGAAGAGTCCCTGGATGGCCCACGGTCAGACAGATTAATTACTTGCACTTTGTCTTGACTTCTTCTGCTGGTAAAACTCTGTTGTTTCCCTTTATCAAGTCAGTAAAGATTCAAACCCCTGGTACTAAAATAGATGGAATAGAAAGAGATCATTGTTACATCTGTGTGATCCACTGACATGGGCTTCAGACTACAGACCAAACTTGGAGTGATTGAAAGAAAAGTGCTGAATCAGCATCAACCATGGTCATGTCAACTGTGGAGGATTCAGCCTGTAAGTGTTACATGGCTGTTACATGACTGTCACACACAGACTGAACAGGGAGGATGACTCATTCTTACATCCCTGCTCCTCAGCCGTGAAATGATGGAAAGCAGTATTTACTGTAATGAAAATAAAAAACCACTCCGGCTGTGTGGAAAGCCACATAAGAAAGAAAATAAAAGTCACCATAGAAATATATCTCGGAAAAGGTCACCGCTGAGAAAAATAAATGAAACGTACACTTTCACATTCAGCTCACGAACATCCACGCTGAAACTGGACGTGGCATAATCTTCTATGCACAGAGAAAACGGCCAAAGGCAGATATTTTTGGATCAATTTCATGGCTGTTCAGCTTTTTTATGTTAGCATGAACACAGTGCGGCAGAACAAGTAGTGAGTGAAATGCCATACAAAGACACTAGCTATACGCTGGTTTTTTCCATCTAAATGCAATTTCTGTGTTGCTCATTATTATGAAGCAATAGTTGTAATAGCCATAAAGCTAACTGAAATGCTAACTGAAAAAAATGCCAAAAACTAGCTGCTGAACTGGAAAACAGTCCATTTGTTTCGCTGCGTCTGTCTATTTAAGTTGGCCGTGTTTCTAAATTTCAGAAGTAATGATAGACTTGTGAAATGAGACAACACAACAAACCACAGTCAGAAATTACAAAGTGTCACTTAGAATTGTCTTAAATGTCTTCACTTAGCCTAAACCAAGGCTTCAAAGGAAAATGTTATCGACTTTTTTAAAAATCTATTTTGCTGGAGTGTGAAGCAGCAGCAGGAAAAACAAGTTCCAGAAAATAAAGAAATGTATTTATAAAATATACCAGTATCTGAAATGTATGTTAGTGTGATGTTTGACAGAAAACTGTGCTAAAAGAACCTTCAGCAGCATACTGTATATTAATTCCATACTTTAGTACCAGGAAGAAACAATCACATCAAGGACACTCATGGATTATAATACCTGCAAGGTAAATAACCCAAAAATAGCTAAAGGCAAAAACATCTCTTTTACGTGAGCTATAATCTCAAAAAGACAAGATAAAGAAGGTAAAGTGCAACATTATGTTGTTTTCTCATGCCAGCTGGGGTTGGCAAATACTTCCCTCCAACTTAGGAGATGATGCTCTTCATAAGGTGCGTTGCTAAAGGAGCACATTTTCAGAAAGATTCCCTTAAAGTTAGCAAGAAATGTAGCATGAAACAGCTGATTATCTGTTGCATGGACAATTTAATATATAATGGAAATAATCATGTCATGGTGGTAGTGTGGGACAGTATATAATACTACGAAGAGCCATTCAAAGTCCATCAACTTCTTGTGAACAAATTTTTCCTGACGTCAGACCCTCAGGGGTCACCTGACCCTGAGCTCGGTCTCTCAATAAATACATGGACTACTCCATTTATTCATAAGAGCTCCACTTGCTGGTATGAATGTAACATGTAATTCAACCCCCAAGGCAGTAGATGTAATTAGGGTAAGCTGCCCTGCTGGAGAGGTTAGCGCTACTGGTGGTAAAATACCATGTCGGTCCTCGAACAGAGCTTCCCATAGGACTGCTGCCTGAATGTGCAATGAACCAGAAACTTCCACCAACCTTCTGAAAACATCCACCGGTGATGAATTACAGAGTCACAGCAGCCTTAGCCATCTCTGCTCTACGTTGGTAGCAGAAAGGAAAAGAAAATGCAGCTATAGGTAAAGGGGAGAAAAAAAAAATAACACGCTGACAGAAATACAATGGCAGGGAGAAGATATGGAGGCCAAACAATGGTAGAAATGAGCAGCACAATCTTCTCTGACAAAAGGACATGAAGGTGCCTCTCTGTTGTATGGAGAAAGAGCAGCCAGGACTACTTATATGATATTTCAATGCAATTATGTCTGGAAAAAAAAAATCCATACAGAGCGAGCAGCACAGATTGGCGTCAGCTTTAGAGAGTGCCATTCAAACCCACTGCTAACATTGACAGAATGGATCAGTCATCGTCGGCTCGTTTGCCTGTGATGTGATGTAAAGCTTTTTTTTTTTTTTGAGATAAATTTGTTTCTGCTGCTGAGAAGGCACAGCTCAGACATCACTGCTATGAGCGACAATGACATCATTACTCCGAGCCCAGAGGAATGCCTGTCGTCACTCGCACTGGCAAACACAGTGCTATGGAAACAGCAAGAGTGTGATCTCGCACACACACACTTGCACTGCTACATTAGCACACACACACACTTGCACTGCTACATTAGCACACACACACGGTACAAAGAGAAAAAGAAAAGGAAAGCAGATCGACAGAGAGTCCATTAAAACAATGCTGACACACGGCCACACTGTTCCTGACCAGCCCGTAAGTTGCACCTGAGATTTCATTTTACCTTCAAAGCGTGCGCTGCAGAGGTCAGCGAGGTCAAGAGCTAATGACTGTTGTTGTTAAAGAACACTTGACCGTTCACCGGATACAGTATCAAACATGAACAATAGGTAAGTTGGGAAGCCGGCTTCTCATTTAACATTAGTTAACCTCAGTAGTTAATTAAACCGGCATGTCATCAAGGAAAATAATTAAATGATAATGTTATGATAATGTAATCCTATTAAGAGGAAAACATACGATAAAGAACAAAGCGATTGACACTTTGTGTTCTCTTACAATCAGGTGAGTAATCTATCACTATATCTGTTTTGTTTTGTTCTATACATTGGACGACTAAGATATAATATTTACTGATAT